CGGGAGCGCCGCCACGCTTCCCAAGCGGCGCACTATCCAGTGCACCACCGGGCCGGCCCACCTTTACTCATTTTTTAACTGGATTGTCTTTTTATGGTTGAGCTCTAAGCGTTCTTTATATATTCTGAATACTAGACCCTTATCAGATAGATGATGTGTATACATTTTCTCAAATTCTGTGGGTTGTCTTTCACTTTCTTGATAGTGTTGAGGCATAACAGTTTTGATTTCGTCAAAGTCCCATTTACTTATTTTTCCTTTTGTTGCTTGTGTGTTTATTGTCATATCTAAGAAATCACTATCTAATCCAAGGTCACAAAGATTTACAGCTATATTTTCTTTTAAGGGTATTCTAGTTTTAACTAAGTTTAGGTCTTTGACCCACTTAAAAATTTTTATTTTTTTACACCAAGGTCAAGTGTTCAGATCCACTTACTGGCCAGCCATTTAAAAAAAAGAAAAAGAAAAAAAAAATCTATCTATATCTATCTATCTATCTATCTATCTACATACATACACATACATATATACCCCCCCACACACATATTTTTAAAATTTTTAAAAATCTTTTTATTGTAGTAAAATACATATAACATAAAATTTGCCACTTTTAACTATTTTAGTTATACAATTCAGTGGCATTAATTATAGTTACAATGTTGTGTAACCATCTCTACTATTCCCATAAATTTTCATCCCCCTAAACAGAAACTCTATACCCAGAAAGCAATAACTCACCACTGTCCCCTCCTCCAAGCCTCTGTAACCACTAACCTATGAATTTCCCTATTCCAGATATTTCATATAAGTAGAATCACGAAATACTTAGGTCTTTGACCCATTTTGACTTAATTTTTGTACATGGTGTGAAGTAGGTGTCTAGTTTCATCCTTTTGCATGTAAATGTCCTTTTTCCAGCACCATTTGTTGAAAAAACTACTCATCCCCCACTGAACTGTCTTGGCACCCTTCTGGAAAATCAACTGATCATAAATGTATGTGTTTCTTTTTGAACTCTCAATTTCTATGCTATTGATCTAAATGTCTATCCTTATGCCAGTACTGCAGTTTCGATTACTGTAGTTTTGTAGTAGGTTTTAAAATCAGGAAGTCAGGGCCAGCCGGTGGCTCACTCGGGAGAGTGCGGTGCTGATAACACCAAGGCCACGGGTTCGGATCCCATATAGGGATGGCCGGTAGGCTCACTGGGTGAGCCTGGTGCTGACAACACCAAGTCAAGGGTTAAGATCCCCTTACCGGTCATCTTTTTAAAAAAATAAAATAAAATAAAATCAGGAAGTGTAAGTCCTCCAACTTTTTTCTTCTTTTCGACATTTTTTTTGGCTATTTTGGTTCCTTTGCATTTCCATATGAACTTCAGGATCAGCTTCTGATCAATTTCTGTAAGAAAGGTAGGTGGCATTTCAATAGGATCTGTGTTGAATCTGCAAATTGATTTGGGGGGAGTATTGCCATCTTAATAATATTAAATTTTCCAATCTATGAACATGGGTGTCTTTCCATTTATTTAGGTCTTCTTTAATTTCTTTCAGCAATGTTTTGTAATTTTCACTGCACAAATTTTGCATTTCTTGTGTTAAGATTTATTCCTAAGTATTTTATTCTTTTTGATATTATTATAAATGGAATTGTTTTCTTTTTTCTTTTTTTTTTTTTTGTCTTTTGTCTTTTTCCGTGTCCAGCAACGGATCGCAACCCTCAGTGTTGCCCCCGTACCGGACCGGGGACCGGCAACGGGATCGCAACCCTCGATGTTGCTCCCGCGCCTCGCTCAGCCAGTGAGCGGGAACCGGTCCGTATGTGGGATCCGAACCCTCGGGCGGGAGCGCCGCCGCGCTTCCCAAGCGGCGCACTATAGCAGTGCGCCACTGGGCCAGCCCTTTTTTTTTGTTTTTTTTTAAAAAGATGACCGGTAAGGGGATCTTAACCCTTGACTTGGTGTTGTCAGCACCATGCTCAGCCAGTGAGCAAACCGGCCATCCCTATATAGGATCCGAACCCGGGGCCTTGGTGTTATCAGCACCGCACTCTCCCGAGTGAGCCATGGGCCGGCCCTAAAATGGAATTGTTTTCTTAACTTCATTTTCAGATTCTTCATTACCAATATGTGGAAATACAACTGATTTTTGTATACCGATCTTATATTCTAAAAGTGCTGAAATTGTTTATCAGCTCTAATAGTTTTTTTGTGGATTCCTTAGGATAGGCTATATACAAGGCCATGTCATCTGAAAAAGAGAGAGTTTTACTTTCTTTCTAATCTGCATGACTTTTATTTCTTTTTCTTGTGAAACTGACCTGGTCTGAACATCCAGTACAATGTTGAATAGAAGCGTCAAGAGAAGACATCCTTGTCTTGTTCTTCATCTTAGGGGAAAAGCTTTCAGTCTTTCACCACTGAGTATGATGTTAGCTGTGGGTTTTTCTTTTTCTTTTTTTTAAAGATGACTGGTAAGGGGATCTTAACCCTTGACTTGGTGTTATCAGCACCACGCTCTCCCAAGTGAGCCACGGGCCGGCCCTAGCTGTGGGTTTTTCAAAAATCTCCTTCATCAGGATGAGGAAGTTCCCTTCTATTTCTAGTTTTTATCACGAAAAATCAGTGAGATTTTGTTGTACAAAAATTATACTGGATTTTAAAAATTCCAGAATCCTTTCATGAAAAGGCTCTAAGTATTGATTTTTTAAGTACAATTTACATTTGATGTCTATGGGGTCCAAAAAGGTCCAAAATATTCCAAATGTTTACCTGGTACCTCTGATTTGACTATTATACAGCTTCATTTATAGTGTGAATTAAATTCGGGTGAGCATTTAAAAACAAGTAAAAGTACTAAAAATCTTCAATTTACCTAATAGATAATTCTGCCTCAAGAAGAATCATGTAAACTATATTTTTGCTAAATTTAAATTCAAATGATGGAACCACACTACACACACTGCATGGAATCCAATGTTAAAGTAACTCTCCAGCAACACATTTCAGAGCCTCACCACAGCTCTGGAAAGCAAAACACATGTACCTTAAAAGCTTTGTTGGTGTCTGCAGGCATGGCCATGGCTGCTCCAGTCATCTGCTCCTGCATCATTCGTGATTGGTCAGCGGCTGCAGCACAAGACACACTTACATGAGTGCCAGGCTCGGTAAGCACCCCAGCACTAGGGGGCCTCACACAGAACTTATAGCTGCTCAGTAGCGGGTTAGAGAACTGGACGACAAGTTCACTGACTGGCCCTGTCACCCACTGACTATATGACCCTGAGAAAGTCACTTTACCATTCCTGAAAAATGGGGATGACAACAGGAGGAGGAGAGAGATAACTGAAGGAAGCTCTAAACTTTATTTCAAATTTCAACAACAATAACAATAGCCACCGTTATTGAGCAACTATTACAATATCCCAAGTATTTCACTAAGTGCTTTCATCTGCTCCTAACAACTCCACGGGTAAACTGTGAAGGTCCTTATGTACAGATAAGCAAACAGAGGATTAGAGTGGTTACGTAACTTGTCTGAGGTCCCAGCCATTAAATAAGAGAGCTGGGATTAGTACTGGCAAGGACTCTAGTCAACAAACTAACTGACTGAACCAGGCCTTCTTTAAGCTTCAGATTTACAGGCTTACATTGCTGGTGCTGGATCCCTCACATGAAGGTTTCAGACTTTCGGGAACCAAATATTGTTCCAGTGATTGCCAGGGAGAATTTAGATCTTAGTTTGACCCCTGGAATTTTTAAGACTCTTTCAGAGTATCTCAGGAACTTAAGGAATACTTCTTCATATTTGACTATGCTAACAAATAGCATAACCTGTATGATTTTTCTGAGTCTAGTATGGTTGATTCACCTATTGAAGTATTTGTTTACTAAACCTGACATGCTTCTTACCATTATCTTGGCCCAGAATCAGAGAATAAATGCTCCGAAGCCCAAAAACATTGAGGAAGTACCAGGATGCAGAACTCACCCTAGCAAGGGAAAAGGGAAACAGTGTAGGTAGTTATTGTTTTCAGAAATTAATGTAGTTCACATCTTTCTACCAACCAAGGATGTTCAGTGTATGGAAAGAAATCCCCTGGGGGGGCCGGCCTGGTGGTGCACTGCTACAGTGCGCTGCTTGGGAGCGCAGCAGCGCTCCCGCCGAGGGTTCGGATCCCACATACAGACCGGTTCCCGCTCACTGGCTGAGCGAGGCGCGGGAGCAACACCGAGGGTTGCGATCCTGTTGCTGGTCCCGGTCCGGTACGGGGGCGACACTGAGGGTTGCGATCCGTTGCCGGACACGGAAAAAGACAAAAAAAAAGGAAAAAAGAAGAAAAAAAAGAAATCCCCTGGGACAGGCTATATTCATCCAAACCACAACCAAAGGAAGAAATACAAGTTGTTAAGGCAGTCTTACCAATACGGAAGTATGTTAAATAAAAATTGAAGGAGGCCTCCTGTCCTGAATCCCATTCTCTAGAGGAAATCATAGGTGTCAGTATATTCCATACTTACAAGAAAGGATTAGAGGTGACTTTCAGGAAATACTTGCAACACTGAGGACTACTGCTACTGGAAGAGCCATTTCAAATTTGAACTTTATCCCCAAGGCTTCCTTAGGTTTCTTACCCTGTCCCCATAAAATAACTATGTTTGCAAATAATAAAAACTAAAAGGAATATGAAAAATGATACGTAAATGAAAGATTCTACACTTCATTTCAATACTTGGGTGACATAATAGCAGGAGTCCATTCTGGCTACTCCATCAGGCTGCAGGTGAGTAAATGACCCATCTGTATGTAATGTCATTGCTCTATCTACAACAGAACTTGTACACTGAGGCTCTAGACTCCCCTTTGTCCATGTGAGGACGCCAGTCACATACCTGCCCAGACACTGAGAAAAGATACCAACCCATGAAGTTTTTGTTTAGACTGGAAGGCAAATAAAACTGGAAGGTAAAAGTTTAACAGAATCATGCCACTCATAGAAAGCACAGTGCTTCTCCTCCAGTAGAGCTGTGTACAGCCAAGATTCTCCCAGCATCTGGTCTATCCTGCCCCTCCTTTACAACCAGAGATGGCTCTGCTCAAACCAAGTAGTTAGTCAAGATTACCACTGGTGACCCCATTGCCTATTACTCGTCTCCTCCTCTTTTTCTTCTTCTTCTTCTTTTTTTTTTTTTTTGGTGGCTAGCTGGTACAGGGATGGAACCCTGGACCTTGGTATTATCAGCACTACTCTCTAACCAACTGAGGTAACTAGCCAGCCCCAAGACTTCCTCCTCTTCTTGTTTGGCTTCTTTTTATGCCCATCTATGGAAGGCATAGCCAGTCAGTCTGGAGAGTTCAAATAAAACAACATTACTGGGCACCAGACACTGTAGCATTGTTTTCTAAGTTTTTCATATTTTAGGTTTTATTATTTTACTATTTAAAAATACAGGTCAAGGGTTCAGATCACTGGACCAGCCAGCCAACAAAAAACCAAAAACAGCAGTGGGCTGTCTGGTTAGCTCAATTGGTTAGAGTGTGGTGCTGATAACACCAAGGTCTGGGGTTCAATCCCTGTACTGGCCAGCTGCCAAAAAAACCCCAAACACTGGTAAATAAAACATGAGTGCTGGATTTGGACAGACTTTGTAGTCAAATCTCCATTCCTCCACAGACTTCATAGGATGCTATGATCATAGAATAATATATGGAAAACAGCACAGTGACTGGAACTAACAAAAACTATTAATGTGATCATTGGTAATAATGTATTTTGGGGAAAAAAAACAACCACAAATATCCCATAAGCTCCAGGGGACTGCTAAAAAGGTTTGCTTGACCAGTTTCTGGCTTAATCTTCAAACTTTTTTGGGATCAACACATCCACCCTTGCATTCCTAAACCCCAAGAAGCTAGAGAAAAGAGGCTGACATATTCTCTCCTTTTGCAAGACTCATGTTGTCATAATCCACCCGTGGCATTTTGAGTGTAGTTTTGATGAAAAAAACTTTAGAAACCTATTCCAGTGAAGTATACAAATTGGAAATTCTAATCTTTAAGAGATGCTGGTTTTAGATTTTGACTTGTGTTTTCATTAAATAAAAGAAAGCTCTTACCAGGATGCATCTAATGTGAGTAGTTCAATTCCTTGCTGTAGCATTGGCTTAAAACGGAGGGTCAGCGGAAACGGGACCTTGGCTGCAAAGAAAAAAAAAATCACAACCACTCTGAGCTGTTTTATTTTTAGAACAGTTTAAGCACATATTCTTTCCCCGAAGAGGTGGGAACTCTGTGCCAAATAGCTTTTGGAAAATGATTTCCACAAGGAAATCTGTGGCAATTTCTGAAGAAAAAACACCAAAATGTCACTCTGCTCTAGTTTCCTTGAATAATACCAGCTTCTAGATTGCTGAGGAAGCAGGAACTCAAACTGATCTGTGACCTAAATCTGGAAAAAAGTTGCACTGACCCATTAAACCCTAAATGCAATATATACACAACAGAATTGTACTAAGAAACCAAATTGATTAAAATCAAATTGACTTATGAACAGATAGACAGAAAACTCACCCCAACACGTAGCAAATGAAGTCAAAATAGAAACAGGCTTCCCTTTATCCTATTCAACTAGAATACCAAATTAGTTTTCAGTACAAACTAGCAAGTCACTCCGAGTCTCTACTAGGAAAAAGACATCCATATCATAAATTTAGAATCAATTTGGGACAAAAAACATAAAATTACAGCCTACTAAATTTTTTTTTTCAAAGAATGTAATTGGTTTCCACAAGAATACATAAGACCTGTGATACTAGCCTCAGCAGCACTTGGATTTCTTTGAATAGAAACATGGGACAGGAACACTGATGAAGTAAACATGCAGTCTGCTGGGTCTGTAACTTACTTGTGACAAAGCCCGAAAATGTCATGTTGATCCATCCACCAATAAGAATCATAGGGAGGACATTTGTTACATTCCCTTTCATCATGTCTGTGAGCATAGTGGGATCTAAGACAAGAGCACAAGAGACCAGCTGATTTTACCTTTTGGCAGGGACATTTTCCTGATTTTCTGTAAATCTTTAGTTAATTAAATATTAGATAAAGACAAGTTCACTATAAAAGTAATTCAAATGACATAGAAACATAAGATGTAGACAGTCCCTCCGAGCCCGCTCTAAACACTTTTAACTGTTCGTTGCATATCTTTACATCTTTCTATATACATACAATAATTTACACACACACACACACACACACACACACACACACACTATAGGAATACTATGCTTACTATTTTGCTTCTCAATTTTTAAAAAATTAATATATTATGGATGGTATTTCCACATTGGTATAATATCTATCTCTTGATATGTATATATATATTTTTTGACAGCTGGCTGGTATTGGGATCTGAACCCTTGACTTTGGTGTTATAACACTGCGCTCTAGCCAACTTAGGTAACCAGCCAGCCTTCAATATTTCAATGTCTGCATAGAATTCCCCTGTGTGACTGTACCACTTTTGGGTGGACCTATAGACTGTTTCCAATTTTTTTTGCCAATAAATGATGCTGAGAACAACTATCTTGTACTTAAATCTGCATGTTTATGTAAATGTTTCTATAAGAGAAATTCTTAGAAGAATTTCTGAGTCAAGGGGTTTGTACATTTAAAATTGATAGATATTGTCAGACTGTCCTTCGACAAGGCCCCACCATTTGGCATCCCCACCAGTGGTGAGAGGGCCTAACTTCCTCTGACTTTGACAACAGTGGCTTTGGTCAATCTTTTCAATTGTTGCCAATTTAATGGGATAAAAAGGGCATCTTGTTTTAATTTGTATTCTGTGGATGACTGGTGAGGTCAAGTATCTTTTCATATATTTATTGGTCTTTTGTTTTCTTCAAGACTTGTTAAAATAATTCCAGTACCTTTTGTATGGATTTAAAATAGCTGGTTATCTCACCTAAAGAAATGAGTCCTAAAATGAGAGGACAGTCAACACAGAACAATAAAATATTTTGTTTTTGAAATAAGCTGGTTTTTTTGCATGACTGGGATCAGTGCAAGTAAGAAATCTGTAAGAGTAAAAATTGTAGGATGGACCAAGACATGACAACATGTCTGACAACGAAATGGCTGATCTTGGGAAGTATGAGCTTTTCGTCCTTCAGGCAGAAGCTGGCACAGCAATAGGATCCAGGCATTGGGTGGGAGCTGGGACTGGAATGCTTTTTCAGCCTTGCTCCACAGAGCTCTGCGTCCTGAGGAATGCAATGAGGAGAGAACCGGGAATAATGGCTCTGGCCTCCCCACTCCATTAGCTGAGAGCTTTTTTTTAAAAAAATCTACTTTATGCACTGGGGTTCCCAGAAGATTTATTTAAAAAGAGAATTCTACTTACTATAGACACTGTATTAGATGATTTCTAAGGTCCCTTAGATTACTATCTTTTAAATACAACAACACTCTCCCTGGTCCCCCCACCCAAACTCATGTTAAAAATCTTCCTTAAAGATGAGAGAAAGGAATAAACATACCAGTCATAGGAGATGGGGGCACTACCTTCCTTTTAGTTTTTTTGAAAAATCCATCCTCTGGGTTGTTGAAGTAATATTTTCGTGTCAAGAAAGACTAGTAGAAAAAAAAGCTTTTTAAGTCTCAGAACTGTGACATAGCAAATTGTCAAATTACTCCCCAGAGGTTTAGTCAGAAGGCCCTTGGAATATGCAGTTACACTCAGAGCTGTCAGCCTATTTGGCAGCTGACCTGACACTTTAGCTGAGTCACATTTAAAAGCAATTTCCTAAGATGGGTGAGGTCACAATGACAGTAAACAGCACCAGGCCACAGCTTAATTACTTAGTTGCCAACCTTTAGCTTTTCCAAGAGTCCCCTTATGAAACATTCAGATATCTACTACCCTCAACAGTGAATTGTGTAGCTTTTTAATAAAAGATAAATGAGTACCTGTTTGGGAATGTATTTTCCATTTTCCCTGAGGACTCTGCTTCGAATTAGGACCTGACTGAAAAATACAACCAAGACAATGAGATTTTTAAAAGTGAAACACTAGAAGAAAATAACAGAATAAAGTAGGAGACCTATTTAAACACAAAGAGGGCCTATTTGGTAACAGATGTGTGTAGAAACTTTCCAAATACAAGTGTCCTTAAAACCAATATAACATAATTAACAATCAGGTTTTCAAAAAAATATTTTTCAGAAGTGACTGTTTCTGAACAAATAAAGATTTCTAAAGAGGGCACATTTGGGACTCAGCTTTTTCTTACTTCATAATGAGCTAAGAAGGAAATTTCTCTGAGTGAAAAGGGTAGCAATTGGACACTGCTTAGAAGACTTGGGGGTGGGAGGAGGGGGAAAGAGTGAGGATAGAAGAAGGAACTTTTTAATACCTACACAGAAATAAGCATAGGACTTGAGAGAGTTATAATCTCATGGACAACAAATAGAAACTCCACCCGGAATTCAGACTGTTAGTAAGCTTTAATAAGCACTTATTGAATGAATAAGTGAAATTATTTGGTGATATTAGAACACAGTTGATTGTGAAGAGATAATAGAGTGCTATACAACAAGTGGATGTTACTAAGATACAAATACCAAACAGAAGAGATCAAAATACTAATTTTTTCAGGTTTTAAAAAGTTGTTTAGGGCCGGCCCGGTGGCGCACTCGGTAGAGTGTGGCGCTTGGGAGCGCAGTGGCGCTCCCGCCGAGGGTTCGGATCCCATATAGAGACAGGTCCACTCACTGGTTGAGTGCAGTGCGGGCGTGACACCGAGGGTTGCGATCCCGTTACCGGTCACGAAAAAAGACAAAAAAGAAAAAAAAAGTTGTTTAGGGGCCAACCCCGTGGCGCACTCGGGAGAGTGCAGCGCTGGGAGTGCAGCGACACTCCCACCGCGGTTCGGATACTATATAGGGATGGCCAGTGCTCACTGGCTGAGCGCGGTGCGGGCGACACCAAGCCAAGGGTTGCAATCCCCTTACTAGTCACAAAAAAGACCAAAAAAAAAAAAAAAAAAAAAAAAAAAGGTTGTTTAAAAGGAAAAATAGCCCTTAAATTAATAGAAATCCTTCCTGAAAAGTGAAAAAAAGATTACAGACAGAAATGAACACAAGAAAACTGTGTTTGGTGCCCTCTCTCCTCCTCAGTACAAACCACCTAACTAAGCAGTCAGTAACCTCAGGGTCCCCTTGTCACCCTATACATATTCTAGCTTCTCCATATGCTGGGAGTGCTCTAGTGCCCTCTCCTTTAACAATGCTACCCTATTATGTCTTAAAATCTTCTTCAAGACCGATCTTCCCCATGAAATTCTCTCTGGTCTTCCTCTTGGCCTCATTATACTGTACAGTTGACAACTCTGTACACAGGTCTACAAAAGTGACACACATTATGTCCTGTTCCCTGAGAGCTGGTCTAAAGTGACTCAAAGTGTGGCCTACATACCAATGCTGGTCTGTGATGAGATAAGTACAGATGTTTGAGAGTAAGGGTTTAGAAGGGGCTGGCTGGTTAGCTCAGTTGGTTGGTTAGAGCACAGTGTTATAACACCAAGGTCATGAGTTCGGATCCCATGCCAGCCAGCCACCAGGGAAAAAAAAAAAGAGTAAGGGTTTAGATACTTTTATAATAATTTGGCATTGGCACACATCCACACGTGTGATAAAAGTATTTTACAAAAGCATCAGTCTATAGTTGATTAGAAATTAAAAAAACAAGAATGCCAAAAACTGCTCCTCCAACCACTGACAGTTTCAGAAGCATTGGATCTAGAATATCAGGTAAAAATTTAAGCTCTGGAGTTAGACAGATGGGTTCAAATCCTGGCTCTGCCACTTATTAGCTATGTGGTCTTCGGCAAATTACTTTAATTCCCTAAATCTCCACTCATATTCTGTACAATAATAGATTTATTCTTTCATTGAACAAATATTTCTTGAACTTCTGAGTGCCAGGTACTGTGTTAGGTGACATGAAAAACAATGATCAAAGTGCAAATATCTCATGAAAGTTAAAGTCTAGTTGGGTAGAAAGACATTAATCAACCACAGGAATAAGTGTGAAATTCAATTGCTGTCCTAGGAAGAGAGATACATGTTGTTATGGGAATGTATAACAGGGGGAGTTGACTGAAGTCAAGGTCTGGGAAGTCAAGGTCTCAGAGAAAGCTTTGCTGAGGATGTAGAATTAAGTTGGAATCTTAAGGATGAGGCTGGCCAGTTAGCTCAGTCAGTTAGAGCACAGCCTTATAACACCAAGGCGGATCCCCGTACCCAGCCAGCTGCCAAAACCAAAATAAAACAAAAGTATGAGAGGGGATTACCTTGGTAAAGAGCTGGAGGGAACATTATGGGCAAAAGCCCTGTGGCAAGAGTAAATCTATCTCTGAGGAGCCGAGAAAAGGCCATACAGATAGAAGAAAGAGAACTCTAGAAAACATAGTAAAAACAAGGCTTGAGAGCTGGACAAGAGCCAGACTATAGAAGGCCATGTGGGTGCCACTGTACTTTGATCATTAGCTTAAAAGCAAAAGGAAAATAGTGAAGGATTATAAACTGAGTTCTTCATATATATGAACCCATTTAAAGTGATATTCTAAGCACTAGATTAATGGTGTCTATTATTTTCCCTTTCTTATTTTATGTCATATAGCAGAGTGCAGGGCACGTGGTAGGTCAACAATAACAACTTGTTCATTATAAAATTCAGAACTTTTCTAGAAACTGTGATCAACAGAAATTCAGCTAGGTCTTCTATATTTACACTGCCAAACAATTTTGTAGAATTGGGGTTGAGTTATACTGTATATTCTAAACATTCAGGTTTTTTTTTTTTTTGGACCGGTAAGGGGATCGCAACCCTCGGCACAGTGTGGTCTGCACCAGGCTCAGCCAGTGAGTGCACTGGCCATCCCTATATAGGATCCGAACCCGTGGCCTCGGCACTACCAGCGCCACACTTTCCCGAGTGAGCCACGGGGCCAGCCCTAAACATTCAGTTTGAGATCCACAGCTGTATTCTCCAAAGTCTACAAATTCTACAAGAAATTTTTTATTTTATGCTTTCATTTCTATGAATATCTAAAAAGAAGTCCTTGTACTGGTTATACAGATAAAATTTTGGTAATTTGCAATTGAAAGACATTTTCTTAGTATTGGAGTAAGCAGGACTGAACCCATATTGGGACCTAAAACCACACGAGCTCTAAAAGATTTTTAAAGGACAGTTTTTTTTCTTGGCATGCATTTCTGAGTTCCCTCTTCTCTCATGTTTGAGATTTTGAACCTTGGTTATAGGGTAAGATGACATTATTTACATGAACGTAAAGTTATTTTTCGGCCAGCCTGAAGCTGCAGACTTGCATGTTCTATCCAAGGGAAACCAAGGAAGACATCAATAAAGCTATGCTGATTCCATGCCTCCAGCAGGATCCTGAGATAGCAGCAAGGACAAGAGCAGAAACCAGAAAGAGTCTGGGCGAGACTTTGCACCTGAGACCTCGCATGAAGCCCTTGCTGCTCATGTGCCCCTCCCTCCTGCTTTTCATTTCCCACGTTCCACTCCCAGACCCCCCTCTTTAAAAAAAACCCTCAGTAAACCTGAATCATTGAGATGGCTTTAGTCTGGCCATTTTCCTTCAGATTTACCAGAGAGATAGGTTAGCTACCATCTCTCCTCAGGTCACTGGTATTCCTGAATAAAAGTAGACTTCCATTTTCACCAACATTTGACTTTTGAGTGGTTTGCTCTTGTCTGGGGGCAGGCAGCCAGACTTATCAGTTTGATATCAATTCTGGGGAGCCTCAGCTAGGAGCTGAGTGTCCCCTAAACCATTAGAATAATACTTTAAAGTCAGTAATTCTCAGACCAGACTTTCATATTCTTAAGAATCCGTGATGGTTTTTTTCCTTTCCAAAGAGTCAGTATATTCTCTGTTTGAGAATCACTTTGTAAATATAGTCTGTCTCCAAATATGGCCTAATATATTTTAGCCAAGTATTTTTCATTTTTGGTTTAATACATTTTAGAAAAATTTTAGTGAAGTTTTGAAGCAGTAAAAGCTTAGTAACTTAAGAAGCCAATTGTCCCATTTTGTGATTACTTAGGCTAATAGAAATTTATACTGTATTCAAAGAAATGTTTTACAATTTGCATCTTTTGCCTTGGACTTAGGTCGGCTCAGAATGCATGGCATTATACCCAAGCAACTGATGATCTCGTGGGACAAAGTCACATCATGTCAGAGCTGGCACGATCCAATCATTTCACATAGGGGATGGACCAATTATGACCAGAGATAGAGTTTTCTTTTCTTTTCTTTTTTTTTTGTCCTTTTTGAGACCGGCCACACCGCGCTCAGCCAGTGAGCGCTGTGAGCGCACCGGTCATCCCTATATAGGATCTGAACCCACGGCGGGAGTGCTGCTGCGCTCCCAGCGCCGCACTCTCCCGAGTGCGCCAAGGGCTGGGCCCAGAGATAGAGTTTTCTATGAAGCAGTGGGTCTCCATGGGAGTGGTATTGTCCTCTAGGGGGCTTTATGGAAATCTGGAAATTTTTTGATTGTCAAAATGATAGGGTGGAGGGGAAAAAGCATGTAACTGTCATTTGTTAGAGGTAAGAGATGCTGGGCCGGCCCGGTGGCGCACTGGATAGTGCGCCGCTTGGGAAGCGCGGCAGCGCTCCCGTCCGAGGGTTCGGATCCCACATACAGACCGGCTCCCGCTC